CTGTCAGGGTGGGGGCTTGGAACGTCCGTTCCCTGCGACAGGATGATCGGTTACGATTACTGTCGAGGGAATTGAAGCAGCTGAGAGTTAAGGTGGCTGCTCACTCGGAGGTGAGAAGACCTGGCAGCGGCACGATTAGTGTGGGTGGCTACACTTACTACTGGTCGGGCTGCAGCGATGGCCACCATCTCCAGGGAGTAGCCATAGCCATCTCCAGCCGTTTTCAACCCTCGGTAGTAGAGGTCACTCCAGTCGATGAGTGTATAATGGTATTGAGACTGAAGCTGTCATTTGGCTTCATGTCTCTTATTGCTGTGTATGCTCCTACGGATGTATATAAACTTGAGGTGAAAGAGATGTTCTACACCAAACTTGCATCTGTGGCAGACAGTTGTCCTCGACGAGATATTCGAAACTGAGGATCTCTGGCTCCTGGTATCAGCGTTCTGACCCGCATCGCTGGACTTGGTACAGTGATACAGGTAGGGTGGCCAAGGAGATCGACCACATCCTTGTCAGCACTCGGTGGAGGATCCTCCAGAACTGCATGGTGTTCTGTGGAGTTCTGTGGAACTGATCATAGACTAGTTGTGGCTACTATCCGGGTCCACTTTAGAACCCCCCGTCGACCAAATGAACACCCCAGGATGTTTCATCTGGACAGACTGAGGGAGGATGAGTGTGCCCGGGGGTTTGCTGAGGCTATCTCTGGTCGTCTTACAGCACTCGAGGGCCTGACAGACCATTGTTATGTGGGATTCCTTCAAGCGTGAAACGCTTGATGCAGCTCAGGAATCCATTGGTGTATGCCCGAGAGCAAGACAGAATTCCATCTCGCAGGAGACACTGGAAGCCACAGAAGCTTGTCATGCGGCTCGATTGTCAGGGGATCGCAATTTGCACCATTCTCTGGCGTGCAGGACTAGGTCACTGTTGAGAAGGGATAAGGAACAGTTTATCAGTAATCTTGCAGAGGAGGTCGAAAGCCATTTCCTAGTAAATGACCTTCGTCCTGCCTACCAAGCTCTGAGAAAGCTGAACTCCAAGCCCTCCTCACAGACGACGGTAGTCCGCTCAGCAAGTGGCCAGGTAATCTCAGATCCTGATGGGGTGCGTGTGCGTTGGGCTGAGTATTTTGAGCAGCTGTATCAGGTTGATCCACCAACAGTTAACTTGGATGCTGGTAATGTTGAGACTCCTCTGCCAGACCCACCCATCAGCGAGGATCCACCCACCCTGACTGAAGTCAAGGGGGCGATCTCCAAGCTGAAGAGTGGTAAAGCAGCAGGTGTCTGTGGCATCCCAGCTGAATTGTTAAAGGCTGGTGGAGAACCTATGGCAAGGGGCTTGCATGCAGTCCTGTCTGCCATCTGGCAGACCGGTACCATTCCCCCCGACCTGCTGAGGGGTGTGGTCATCCCTCTCTGGAAGGGGAAAGGGGATCGGTGGGACTGCAGCAATCACCGTGGCATTACACTACTCAGTGTACCAGGCAAGGTACTCGCCCACATCTTACTGAGATGTATCAGAGACCACCTCCTGAGGCACCAAAGATCGGAGCAATCTGGGTTCACTCCTGGTAAGTCCACAATAGATCGTAGCTTCGAGTCATTGTAGAGCGCCGTCGTGAGTTCGGCCGTGGGCTGCTCGCAGCTTACATCGACCTCAAGAAGGCGTTTGATACGGTGCATCGCGAATCACTCTGGGAGATCATGAGACTGAGAGGAATTCCAACAAGGATTGTTGGGCTAATAGCAAACCTGTATACAGGCACTGAAAGTGCTGTAAAGTGTGGTGGGGGCCTGTCGAGCTTCTTTCCTGTTAGTTCAGGCGTGAGGCAAGGCTGTGTTCTCGCACCAACACTTTTCAACACTTGCATGGATTGGATACTGGGTAGAGCTACTGTCCAAAGTCACTGTGGAGCAACTCTGGGCAATATCAAGGTTACTGACCTTGACTTTGCTGACGATGTTGCCATTCTTTCTGAATCTCTGGAAACCCTAGTGGCGGCTCTTGATGCATTTAGCAATGAAGCGAAGCCCCTGGGGCTAGAGGTCTCCTGGACCAAGACCAAGATCCAGGATTTTGGGAGCCTACTAGGAGACCCTGTGCAGTCGGTACGTGCTTGCGGTGAAAACATCGAAGTCACAAGGAGTTTTATATACCTCGGTAGTGCAGTTCATGACTCTGGGCTGTCAGACCAGGAAGTCAGTAGACGGATTGGCCTGGCAGCAGGGGTCATGAAATCTCTCGACAAGAGTATTTGGAGATGCCGGTACCTGTGCAGAAGGACCAAGATACGAGTTTTCAAGGCCCTGATACTGCCAGTTTTACTATATGGTAGTGAAACTTGGACGCTATCTTGTGCTTTGGAATCTCGTCTTGATGCCTTTTGTAACAGATCCTTGCGCCGGATCATGGGGTACAGTTGGCGGGACCATGTGTCCAACCAACAGCTACACCGCGAGACTGGTACAGGACCTGTTACTTGCACAATCCGTGATCGCCAACTCAGGCTATATGGCCACTTGGCTCGATTCCCGCAGGATGATCCTGCCCATCAGGTTGTCTCTGTTCGGGACAACCCTGGGTGGAGGAGGCCTGTGGGACGACCGAGAAGGTCGTGGCTTGGGCAGATCGATCAAACCTGTCGTGAGGAACTAGAGATGGGCCGGGCCCCTGCCTGGCGGCTCGCCATGAGAGACCCTCGCAGGTGGAAGCGAAGAGTGGACATGGCTATGCGCCCCTACCGGCGTTAGCCCCCCAATGATGATGATGATGATGATGATATATATATATATAGATAGATAGATAGATAAATAGATACATACATAGATACACACATACATATACATAAATGTGTGTGTGTATGTATATATATATATATATATATATATATATATATATATATATATATTTGCGTGTGTGTGTATTACTAATCCTTGGTGTTATTTTTCCTGGTATTATTATTGTTATTGTTGTTATTATGATTATTATTATCATTATCATTATTATCATTATTATTATTATCATTAGCATCCTCATCATCATCATTACCATTATCATTATAATCATTATTACAGTTATAATGATAATGATAATAATAATAATGATGATGACGATGGCGATGGTGATGATGATGATGGCGATGATGATGGTGACGATGGTGATGATGATGACGATGGTGATGACGATGACGATAATGATGGTGATAATAATGATGATGGTGATGATGATGACGATGGTGATGATAATAATGATGATGGTGATGATAACAAAAATAATGATGACGATGGTGATGATGATGGTGATGATAATGATGATAATAATAATAATAAATATTTTTATTATCATCGTCATCATTATTATTACTATTATTTTTATCATTATTAGCATTATGTTAATTTTAAAACAGAAGCAAAAATGTGACTATAACTAGTATTATTGCTTATTTATTCTAGTCATTAACCAGTGAACCCAGCCTGGTGGACGCACAATCCAGTGCCTCCATCAGCCGGTCCAAAGCCCGGGCAAATGGGGAGGGTTGACGCCAGGAAGGGCATCCGGTTGTAAAAACGTGCCAAACGTGCAGATACAAAGGAATGGAGATAAAGCTAGGGCATACCACGGAAGCGATGGACAGCAACATCGCCGTGCAGCTGCGAGAAGTAGACAACGGCTGCTTTACCAGGAGCAAGCAAGGTTAAAGAAGATAGCTCAGAGGGGGGAAAGGAGGAAGAAAAAGGTGGAAGACACAACATTTGTGATCGCAACACTGAACGTGGGTACAATGACCGGAAGAAGATAAGTGGTGGATGTAATGGAGAGGAAGGAAGCAGATGTGTTGTGTGTACAAGAAACTAAATGGAGAAGACAGAAGGCCAAGGAGCTGGGGAATGGATATAAGCTGTACTACATGGGAGAGGACAACAGAAAGAATGGAGTAGGTGTGGTGCCGAGTCCAGAGATGAAAGGGGGGGCTGTACAGGTGAACGGGGAGTCCGACAGGGTAACATGGTTAAAGATCGAGATAGAAGTAACAATGGTCAATGTTGTGTGCGCGTACGGACCGCAAGTAGGGTGTACAGAAGAGGAATAAGACGACTTCCGGGATCTGCTCGGGGGCATGATGGTGAAAATGCCGGATACGGAGGTGGTCTGGATTGCGGGGAACCTTAACGGTTATGTTGTTAAAGGGAGCCTTGATACAGAAGTTACGGGAAAGTTCGCACTTGGAACACAGAATGAAGGAGACAGAGTTGTGGACTTTGCAACAGCAAAAAGCATGGCACACCTACTTCCAGAAAGACTGACTCGTCGAACAACCTCAACTAGCGGTGGACAAAACATACAAGTTGACTACATCTTATGCAGGAGAAAGGAACTACAGAAGGTAAAGGACTGCTATGTCCTACCAAAAGAAGCTGTGGTCAAACAGCATGAACTAGTAATCTGTAAAGTAAGGATGAAACAACTGAGAAAAACGAAACTGGTCAGGACACAGAAAACATGCTGATGGAAGTTGAATAAAGAGGAACATCAGCATAAGTTTGTCCAGGATGTGGAAAAGAAACTGGAAGATGAAGAGCAGAGGCCCTGGAGAAAGGGAAGAAAGAGGAGACTGAGGTACAAGAGAAAAGAAAAGAAAGAGAGGAAAGCGGAAAGAGATCTAAACAGGTGTGAGGAGGCTATTATAGCCTATAAAGGGCAAATAAAAAGACCAAGAGAGAAGTAGCGAAGGCCAAAAGCAGAGCATACAAAGATTTGTATTGTAGCCTAGAAGGGCAAGACGGTCAAAGAAAAGTTATCAGGATAGTGAAACAGAAGAACAAAGAAACACAAGATGTGTATCAAGCAAATAGAGTGAAAGGTAGATAAGGGGGAGGTGGAAGGAATACTATCAACAACTGATGAATGCAGAGAACCCAAGGGTAGAATGGGAGATAGAAGCAGCAGAGGAAAGGGAGGTAGTGGAAGTGGGAGAAGAGGTGACAGCGACTATGAAACGGATGAAGAGGGGAAAAGCGATAGGGCCAGACGACATAGCGTGGAAGGCTATGGGAAGAACGGCAGTAGAGTGGCTAACGGAAGTGTTCAGAAAGAATTTGGAGACAGAACATATGCCAGATGAATGGAGAGCTAGCACTCTAATACCGGCATTTAAAAATAAGGGCGACATCCAGGATTGTGGAAACAACCGGGGCATCAAACTTACCTCACACACGCTAATGATGTGGGAAAGAATTATAGACAAGAGGCTAAGGAACAGAGTGGGGGTATCGGAGCAGCAATTCAGCTTCATGCCCAGCAGAAGTACAACAAATGCAATATTTGCACTCCGTCAAGTAATGGAGAAGTACAGATAGGGGCAAGAAGAGTTGAGCTGCATCTTCATTGACCTAGAGAAAGCGTACGATCAGTGAAATTGTCTGCGGCTAAAGGAGGTGGCAGAGGAATACATCAGGCTGCTACAGATGTATGAGGGTAGCAAAACACTAGTGAGATGTGCAACAGGTGACACAGAGGAGTTTGAGGTAACGGTTGGACTGTATCAAGGCTCAGCGCTTAGCCCTTTCTTGTTTGCAGTTATTAGTGATTGTAGGATGGGAGATGTACAGAAGCAGGCCCCGTGGGATATGTTATTTACAGACGACGTTATGGCGATTGCAGAGGCAAAGGAGGAGGTAGAACAGAGGCTGGAGTTGTGGAGAGAGGCGATGGAAGTAAGAGGTATGAAAGAGAGTAGGTAGAAGACCGAATACCTGAAAATGAGAGCAGGAGACAAAGAGGAGGAGCAGGAGGAGAAAAGGATAGTAAAAATGCAAGATGAAGTTGTTAAACAAATGGAAGAGTTCAAGTATTTGGGATCCACTGTACAGGCAGATGGTGGGTCAGAGAGGGAAGTTACAAAACGGATAAAGGCAGGCTGGGGACCATGGAAGAAAATAACAGTTGTGATGTGCTCTGTGAAGGGGAGGATGTACAAAGAGATGGTGAGGCCGGCGACGATGTACGGGATGGAGGTGGTAGCTGTAATAAAGACGCAGGAAGGAAAGGTTGCGGAAATAAAAATGTGAATATGGTCACTGGGACTCAGAAGACGGGAGAGAGTCAGAAATGAAAAAATAAGAGAGGTTGAAGTTGGAGAAATAGCAGGAAAGCTACGAGAAAATGGATTATGATGGTTGGGACACGTTGTCAGGAGGGACAATGACTACGTAGAAAAAAGGATGAGGCAGTTATAGGTAGGTTGGAGGAAAAGAGGTAGACCGAAGAGAAGATGAGAGGATTGCATTAACGAAGATAAAAAAAAAAAGAGGGGTCAGCGAAAAAGAGGCGGTGGACAGAGCAAAGTGGAGGAGAAAAATGATAGCTAAGGTTAATTTTTTCATAACCTTGAATACTAGGCCTACACATTTTTTTATGTCTATTCACATACCATTGCTATAAATCAATACTGTTGGCAAGGGATATAAAGCACTTAGCGTTTCAGTCTTCTCAAACATACTAATAGAAATTTAACTGAGGTTAAAGAGTAACCACTATGTGAATTAAATGTATGATATTCATCTCAGAATTTGTTCTTGTACCTCCAAATATGCGTAAGATTTAAAAAAAATGAATAAAAAAAATCGTTTTATATTTATGGCCTTTTGAATTAACAAATTCTGGGCCCAAAACATCGTCTGCTCTAGCTTTTAACTCAAATATTACCAGTAGCGCCACCAACCCGGGAATGACGTCGCCGTGAATGCATGGATGAGAACCTTTTATGTGATATTTTCGTGTGATATTTTGTATGGAAATGTCCTATTGTCCACCAAATATGGATAGAGATCCATATTATTAATAGTGCATCTGTAAAAATATATTTAATTATTTAACACACTCACTCATTGGTTTCTCCTTCAAATCTGTGTTTATGTTCCATTTTGAAATGATCATAAATATTCTGCAGAACCTAGACATCCAGACAGTTAGACATGAAACCTGGTTGCTGTGTAATGCACTTAATGTTTTCCCCAAAACTGTCGTTGTACTCGTCAATTTTTTTCCTGTATTGGCATTTTTTCTGTGCAACACATGTTTTCCTCTGGAGTTTCACATAACTCACATCTGTCACACTTGCACCTGTAAAAATCAAAACCACAATTAAGATGTATTTTAACATAGGAATTTGCTAACAATTAGGGCCAGGCCAACCAGATCACAGGCCTATTGGATCGGTACGATCGACTTCGAAAACCTGCAAAGGAATCGCCAATCACCTCCACTAACCCCAGCTGTATTAATCAAATCATGTAGATGGCCATAGCTTGCATGGCATGATGACATTTTACAGGATCAGGACCCTGACACACTGATATCTAATATGGCCAGTCACACTGGAAGCATGCAGTACACCCTGCATACCCTGTAGATAGACTGGATGTTTTGTTTAGTGTAGGCATTTCGCATCATGTTGAGCGATGGCGAGCCTAGACGCCGTATAGACTCATCAACAGTACCTCAGAATACCCTACTAAACTAACGTTAGAGACATGAGAGAAGGGGTGTAAAAAAACTGAGACCTACCAGTCAGTATTGTCCATTCGCTGTTCCAACCAATACTGTAGTTCTCTGGTGGCTGAAATGCCGCGGACTTCAAGAGCTCCTCTTCAGACAAATATTCGGACTCAAATTGGTAAACAAGCACAACACCGTCTTGCCAAACATGCCATACATCTTCACTGTTATCGGAAATGTTTATAGAGTCCAGACTACCGTCAAAAGACGAACTTGAAAAGCTATCAACACTGGATGATGAAGAACACGCCATAGCCATAATAAACAACACTGACACTAACACAACTCATGACGTCATCGCAACTAATTCCAAGAGATGGCGCTGCGAACAGTATTTTAATGTGTGAATTAGCAGACGACGCATATTTCGGGAAAAAAATGCTTCAAAACTATATTTTTATACATTTTTTTTTTTTTTTTTTTTTTTTTTTTTTTTTTTTTTTTTTTGCTACGAGTTGCTTTTGAAAAAGTAGTATCTCAGCAATGAAAAAATGCAAAGTTGTGCACAAGCTTGGTGATTACTCTTTAAGCCATCTGACATTTTGAAAAAGACTCACAGTAGAGTCTTCGGGCGCACTGTGACCTAAAAGTTTTTCATTATTTGACTAGTAGTATGACCACTTTAAAATATAAAAGCTAGAAATGTATAAACCAAGAAGTTTAAGCTGTTATTATCACCCAATGAATTCTTTCTAACAAGTTATATTAGGAGGTTGTCTGGGCTGCTACCCCGTGTTCTGGGTGTCTCCAGAAGGGCTCGCGGTGTGATGGTTTTGCACACGCTACTATGAATGCTGAACGAGGGTGATTTTTAGAAAAATGACTCTGTTCAAATAGGCGTGGAATTTGATTGTCTTTTTTTTTTTGTCAGTGATTGTTTTTTGGTAATTTTCTTCCTTGCTATATATGTACATACATATATACTTACGCACACGTACAGACATATCTGTCCACACAAACTTTGTAGACAATAGCATGTTTTACATACACAATTTAGACTAAAGGCCCAATTGGGCATGATCGGTGGGCACACGGGCGGGCACGAATAGAGATGACGTCACGGGCGGACATACTCGGTAAACAAGTAGTTTCCTCGTTGCTTCTCGCCTGTGACGTCACTATTATATGTGTTAGCCAAAGTGTCGATCATTCCTTTAGGCTAATTCATTCAAAGTCTGCGACACGTTTCCCTTTTGATCTGGAATTCGATAGATTCTCTCTCTCTATATATTTACGCATCTATCTATATCAATGCCTATTGTCATATCCATGTAATCCATGTATCTATCGTAATTTGTATATCTATTTATATGCGTGTGGTGCATGCGTGTGTGTGTATCTATCTATGTATAGACACATTGCATATGTATATCTATTTATATATGTACATATGTGTGTATATAGATAGATATTTTCTCTCCGGAAATCTCTTTCTCACTCTCTAGCCCCCAACAGTCCTTTTCTCCCTCAGCTCTCTTCATCTTGATCCTCTAATTTCGCATAATGACAACACGTTAATACCTTGAGAGATTACCTGCAGGAACTAGGAACTCGCTGATGGCCAGAGCGGCAGAGGGACCCACCTTCCGTCGGCGAGAGCGCGTGGGCAATGGGCCGAGGTTTAACCGGGTTTCTGTGTGGCCTGAGAAGGGATCGCGGTAGGGGACGGTTCTGCGCACGCCACGATGAATGCTGAATGAGGGAAGATTTTTTGTCTCTGATTATTTTTAGGTGATTTTCTTCCCAGGTGCTTCAGCCTATACTGATGCGTCGCTTAATTTCCTTGATGTGTATGTACAAGCTTATATACTTACACGCACACACACATATATACATAAATACACACACACAAATACACGCGCACACACACACACACACACACACACACACACACACACACACACACACACACACACACACACACATATATATATACCTATCAATCTATATGTAGATATGTATGTGTGTATATGCAAACAGTACATACATACATATGTATGGTAGAACCCACAGTGCACAAACTATATATATATACATATATATATATGTATATATATATAATATATATATATATATATATATATATATATATATATATATATATTCATATGTATGTATGTGTGTGTTACGATTACTGATTCTTTTTTTTTTTTGTCTTTCCAGCAATGAATATTAATCTTTGTACAGTAAATACACCACTTTGATTTATAAACTGTATCATATTACATCACATCAGTCTATATTATCAGAGGTTTGGAAACATCAATATATCTCTCTCTTAACTGAACACAATCTAATTGCCAAGCCACTGGCCTGTGTTACACAATTACTCTAACTTGGTCATTTCATATTTAGGGCATATCTTGAATGTGGAAGTGTGTGGCAATTTAATTCTTAACTTCTCACGTAATTAACCTAAGGATAAGGCAGCACAGATGTCACTGACCACAAGCCTTAAAGTATAGAACAGGAGATCCTGTGTGCATTTCAAGAAAAATGTCCACCTCCCCATACAATTAAGGCTACATGTCACGCTGCATGTGACATGTGGCACGGTGATTTCAGACCAAGGTTACACGTAAAGGATGACGATGTTATTGTTGTCCTAAGCAATCTTGTGACAATCATCTGTCACTTGGAGGAATAGAGAACTTTGGGGCCGAAGGTAAGGAAAACTTGTTCCATACCCCCTTATCTCTCTGTGCAGGGTGTAGGAGGGGTAAGTTTGGAGTGACCCTGAGCAGAAATTACTGCACATACCTTGTGCACCCGTTTTCATTGGACATCAGAAGCGGAAACTTTATGTTCGTTTCCTTTCTCTTAAACGGAATGGGGATCACTCTGATACAAAATTCGAAACAAACAGTGTCGTGAAGAGACTTGTATGAAGAATTATTTTTCATAAACAAAAGAAGAGAGAATATTGTTTGTGTACTGAAGTAATGTATCATACAAACATTTTTGTTTCCCCACAGCTTGTACAGATGTTATGTTGAATGGTTCATTATCTGGAAGAGGCATAGTTGTGTACGAGAGCAGGCACATATGGCACTATTTCCTCCTGAAGACAATGCATGGTTACCCTCTTATCCGAAGTCTCGTTCACTGGCCGACCGAAGCAGCTTTGTCAAATGTGTGTCTGAAATTTGTTTAGACACTTCAGAACTACGATGTCTATGCCATACATCCAGAAGTTTGCCTTTATTATATCTGTTATTTTGATTCATATTTGTTACCTTGCCTGATAATAACGTTGGCTGATCTATTAAAGTTTGACAGAACAATTCGAGGTGGCGAGTCGTACGTGAAAATAGAAAAAAAGAAAGAAAGAAATCTAGGCTTGGAACTCAGGTCGCACGTAGCACACATATTGCATGTCACGCCAAGATTCATGCTATTTCGTGTCTCTTCCGTGCGAAATCCTGTACTAAATTGGCCAGTAGTTAATGTGGTAGTCGGCGTAGCTGTAGGAGTCGAGGTAGAAGGCGAGGAGCGGCCACGAGGAAAAATCGTCCGTTGTTCCTCGAGTGAGACCGACGCGGAACTGCAGGAAAG